ATCGCTCAACTCAGGGATTGGAGCCCTAATGTCGGCTAAGAGAAAATCGCTCAACTCAGGTATTGGAGCCCTAACGTCGGCTAAAGAAAATCGCTCAACTCAGGGATTTGAGCACTAATGTTGGTTAAAGAAAATCGCTCAACTCTNTCAAGCATTCACATCATTATTATGTACATGAGAAAGTAAAAAGAATAAGTCTAGGTGATTCTTTTGATTCCCTATAAGATTATGAATTGGAAGAAGAAGAAGAAGAAAAGAAGAAGAAGAAGAAGAAGAAGAAGAAGAAGAAGAAGGAGGAGGAGGAGGAAGAGGAGGAGGAGTAGAAGGAGGAGGAGAAAAGGGGCTGAAGTTATTTAAAAAGTGGGCACAAGTTTAAGATTTTTTTAAAAATTGGTATAGGTTAAATGAAGGCGATCAAATAGGGCGCCTCGTGCAATTTTTACTAAAAATTATGGTATTGCTATGTATAAGAGTAATATTAGTTATACATAGATTGAAAATACTACCAACAAGGGATTAATAATACCAAAGCTAATACATGTATTATTTTTCCTAATGCATCCTACCAAATATCAGTGTGAAAAGAACTAAGGAAATCAAATATCTCATCCACGTGTACATTTTCATTTTTAGACCAAAAGGCTAAGCTAAATTGTACTATAATTTTTATTTTTTATTTTATTTTTGCCTTGAAAGGATATTTGATTTCTCTCCCTCTACACAGTCAAAGATGATGAACTCTGCTGGAAAACTTAGCAGATGTTTCTTAATGAAAACAACGTATTCGTTATCAGTATCCACTCAAGACAACCAAACCACTTCTGTTAATGAGAACCTAAAGGGGTATGAAAAAGAGTGACACCTCAAAAAGTACTTAATTTTTTTTTTAGGCGAGCGCCTAGGGCTAGTTTTCATTAATAAAAGAAAAGAAAAATACAACAATTCGGAATATGAAAATAATTCGCAAACAAATTCGCCTAGGGCTCTTCCAAACAAATTTTCCGCAATATGGAAATAATTCGGAAAATCATATCTTTACGTTTGGATGGTTGTTATCTGTTGCCTTGTATCGTATTATTACTTTAAATACAATATTTATTTTGATTGTTATTTAAATTTTATTGTATCATTAGTATCGTATAGTTAAATACTTAAATCCGTCATCACGTAATGACCAAAAGTGCCACTTTATGGAACGACCGATTTGGTGTGATCGTGTCGTACCTTATTTTTTCCTCTCATCTTGCGCTTCTATATTATAGTAATAGTATACATCAAAACAAAACGATACAATACAATACTATACTATACTATACTATACTATACTATACTACATGATACATTATGAACGACACATAACAACCATCCAAACAAGCTGTTAGAGACTAACTCAAGCAAAATAATCCTCACATCAAATGGACCATAATCTTAACCAAAAGAATATTTACTATAAATTGGATACACCATAACACTGTTGTATCAACAATAAAATCTGAAATCGTTACCTAAGCTGGAACACACTATTTCTCTCTTACTTATGGCTACTTGCGACTTAACAACAAATCATATCACCTAACACATAAGTAATAGACCTAGTGAACACAACATACTTGTTGGATGAACAATTACAAAGTACATTCCTTAATAGACAAAATATGTTGATCCCCTCGAGAATACAAATGGCTCATCAAGAAGGAATTCCAAATGTAAAGGAAATGATCATAAGACTTTGCAACGTACTCCAATCATCTTTAAAACCTTTGTTGAACTAGAAGCACTGTGATAAGAACTGGAAACAACAGCAGAAAATTAACTCATGCCTCTAGATATTAATATAGGTTTATAACAGTCATTGACATGATACAAAGTACAATGAGCATTACTCACGTTCTTTTTAATAACGGAGGTGTTCGGACCAGCTTGCATGCAACTCGACTAATCCATTCACTCAGAGGCGGATCCAGGATTTAAATCATATGGGTTCAACTTTTAAGGTTTTTAGCATTGAACCCATTATATTTTTAAAGTTATGGGTTCATATTCACTATTTTTGCAATTCTAATGAATTTTTTAATATAAATTTATACTCCGCGTCGAAAGTTATGAGTTCAGTTGAACCCGTTGGTTGTTCACTACATCCGCCTCTGCAATTCACTAGCACAGATAGCGGATAACTTTGCATCACTCATATGTTAACAAGGACTACAGTTTCTGATTAGTTCAGCTATAACTGCTGGAAACCCAGCGGTTGCTCGGCTGCGTACTACCTGTCATCTCACACTCCCAAAGTAAATTTTTCTTTCTTCTTCTGTATCTCTTCTCAGATCGCTCATGATGGGACCCCTTGTCTCCTTGTCTACATCGTCGAAGAGATGGTCTTAGGACCCCATCTCCCACAGTAAACATAACAATTTGATTATTCCTATTAGATATGGGTTTAAACTGACTACGACCAAAGTCGTGGCTACTTCAACCATAAAAAGGGCAACCCCTATTCAAACCAAAAGAAGTACCTCACCTCACTTACGAAGAAGTTGTTAGAGCTGGGCTCTGAACCATGAGAGTTTGCTTTTTATCTTTCTTAGAGCGATGTAATCAATTAGGGAATCAGACCACTCCTGGTGTTTTAACTAGTCAAACAAGCAGGGTCGACAATACTTCCAAACACCTTTCCTAAGGTGTCTCTTTGAGGATCCAAGAAAATCACATAGACCTTGTTAGATTCTAGCTTTCACTTCACTCTTCTAATTGTTCTTCTTGGCTTCTCAACCTTTTTCGTCATAGTCAGTGAAACTAGACGAAAATCTAACTCCTACTCCAATCTCTCTTCATCACCTTAGCTAGATTTTAAGTTTTTTTTTTCTTTATAGTGTGCAGTTTGGAAGGGATGCTTCTATTTTCCTTAATAGTCTTCTTTATTTAGATAATTGCCAAAGAAATGAGTATATGGAGTAGCAAAGTGTAGCTGATACTTCCACAAAATAGAATAGAAACCATATCCCCTTTATCTCTTTTTCTATAGTTGTGGCCATCAGTGATAAGCAGGTCGCTATAAATAGACGACAACTGGACATTTGATATAGAAAATCATAATACAGCTCGAGGTTATGGCGAGTTGACAAGAGACAAATAGTAAATTATCAAGAGTTACCTTGAGTACCTTGTCAATCCAAGAAAGAACTACGCGATTGAATTGATTAAGTTGAGAGGATGGAAATCTTTGTTATATGAATAGGAAATTACATACAATCGAAAAGTAACAAACAGACACATAATTCACATATACATTGTAGAAAGCAAGCGAACTTTCATACGTAGAGTAGTACAAGTAGAGGTATTTAGCAGAGAAGAGAGTAGTATTATAGAACTTCTGGAAATTGAACAAGTAGAATTTGATCAGCAAACCTCAAGGAGATTGCGGCCAATCGTATCCAGAGTCCACAGCATTTAAGTCATCATAAAACCACATTTCGACATCCTCAATACTTTGGTCATCTTCCTCCCAATACACATCAGACATCTCATCGAAGTCGTCATCGTCCATGTCACCAGCCACAAAATCCCATGGTACATAGCCAGAAGAACTTGAATAATCAGAACAATTGTCCCAACCGTTCCTATCATAGCAATCTACGACAAGCGGACCGACCACCTTTAGCTGATGGAATTTCTTTACAAAATTTTCATCAAGGTTCACATTCCAACAACCTCTTACATCCAGTAGCTCAAGATGTCCACAGTTTTTAAGGACCTCGGTTATGCTTGTTGTACCAACCAGCATATAAGCAATCTCGAGCTGCTTGAGCTTCGGCATCGTACGGGCTATTGCAAGTGCTTCATCGTCTTGCGAAAGCTTGTCAATAACCTCAAGGGGATGCATTGTTCTACGCAAACCAGTGAGACATCTACAGTGCTTCCCTATGGCTCCAAGCGCTCTTGCTCCTATTTTTATGCAGTAGCTTACATCCAAAAATGTAATGTTCGAGAACATTCCGGCAACCTGTTCCACAGCGGAATCACCTATATCACTTTTTGGCAACCGCAACATCTGCAAAGATTTGGCACTAGCAAGCAAAACAGAAAACATTCACATTCAGTCAAAGTAACTCAATTTGACTTTAAATATAACATCTTAAAATATGTGATGTGTAGACTATTGCAGTGGCTGAGAGATGTAAATAGCGTCAAGAGGTGAAAAAGTACTAACTTGTTAGCAATGAATGTGAAGCTTGGTTCCCTGGAGAGACCAGAAACACAAAGCTTACGGAGAGAACCACAGCTTCTCGTAATAAGCAATTGAAGCATCCGATCAAGGTTATCAGGGCAGCAATTTTTGCTCCATTCCTCAATGTCGATCTCTTGCCAACAATAAGGACCTATTGCCGCTTTTCTCCACGACTTGCAAACTCTTGGAACTATAGTTAATACGTCTTGAAGTGAAAGGTTCCTAAATATCATCCCAAGTGCATCAGGAATTAATTCATCCCACCGCCGAAACTCCTGATTCTCCATCTTAACTCATTTGTTTTTCTGCTAAAGTAATGAGATATATTTAGGATAAAGAATGTTTAATCACATTTCACCTATTTATTTTGAACTGTCACGATTGAAAGATTCCTTTGCCATCACAAAAATTATTATACAAAATGAACAAGATGCAAAAGAAGTGAAAACATCAGCAATTGACTAGTGAATAAGTGCAATCACAAACCTAAAATCAACTCAATCGAGGCAAAAACAACAACTACTACGCCTCAATTACAAACAAGTTGGAGTCAGCTATATGAATCCTTACTGACCATGTTATTCTATTTAAATCATCTCATGCCAGTATTATGCAAATAAAGAAAGGAAATCTAAAACTGAAAGGGAGAAAAGACTATCTAAGAGAAAAACAAGATTTCTCAAAAGACATCAAATGGTGATGACAAACAGCAGAAAGACACAATCTTTACACAGCCATGTTTGTTAACAATGGCAATAATAAAGAGAAAGGAAATCTAAAACTGAAAAACAAGATTTCTCAAAATGAAATCAAATTGGCAATGTCAAACAGCAGAAAGACACAATCTTTATACGAACATATTTATTAACTACCAATAAAAATGCTAAGAAAAGGGAAAATGAAGATAAAGGACCAACCTTTATTTATCCATATTGTACAGCAAAATACTAAAGAAATGAGATTCAATTGGCTCCAGAAATTACCATTTCCCAGTTGAGTAAATGCTGAAATCAACCAACACTCTGTTGACAAAAATGCTTAAATCAAGAAACAATCATCTTAAAAACTCAAGAAAAGCAATGACATTCTTGAAATTTCTGTATCAAAAAATATTGAAAATTTTCACCATTAAATATGAAGATACTCATATAATGCAAGTAAATAGAGGTATCTCTACAACCCCAAAAGCAAGAAACCACAATAATTGTATTACTCAAAGCTGATGAACAGAGGCTGAAGTCAGATGAACATGACTTTGTAGTTTAATGCAAAACTCAAAGAATGTAAAATGAAGAAAAGGGTGTCAGTAGAAGAGAAAAAAATACTCAAAAGAGCATAAAATTACCAAGATTTTTGTACACTTGGATCTGTGAAACACCGGTTTATCCGCCTAAAATGAAGGGTAAGAAGAATGTGAGTTTCAGTTAAAAGGGGGTGTTGTGTTGGTAGAAGAGAAACAAGAAGAGAGACAAAAGTAACAAGATTTGATAACAGGAAAAAAAAAATACTAACATGTGAAAGTGAAAAGTTCAAGAAATATCTCAGAAAGCAATGTGTGTAATTGTAAAAAGTAAAATGTATTGGGAATTTGGAATTGTATGTTTCTGAACTGGGGTATGGGGTTAGTACTTAGTACTACTACTGCTGATGTGTTGCTCCTTTTTGAGATTCACTTTAATACATACACAATATGTAAAAAGATTGTGATTTCGAGTTACCCGAGAGCAAGGAGGGGAGCTTTTGGAGGGAAGGATACCAAGAGTCTATTGAAAATAATTTCTGTACTCTAAGGTAGGGGTAAGGTCTGCGTACACACTACCCTCCCCAGACCTCACTTGTAAGATTATATTGGGTTGTTGTTGTTGTTGTTGTAATGTGTAAAAAGGTTATGTCAAATGTAACTACATATGATGGCTGTGCATAATTTGGTAAATACCGAATTAACGTACCGAAACCGAAAATTTTGGTATTCGATATTCGATATTTTGGTATTTGGTATGGTATTTGGTTTAAGTTTTAAAAAAGAATTGGTATTAGGTATGATATTTGGTATTTTGAAATGAAATACCGTACCAAAATATATATTATATTACACAATACACATTTTATTAATTATAACATAAATATAAGAAATCTAAAATCTTAGTTTCCTTTATTCTCTAAATTCATCAATTAACTCTCTAATTGTTTTCTCTCTCTAGATTGGTATTTGTTGGTAATGGATAAAAATTTTGTCAACAAACGCTTTTAGTTTTGTACTTTTGAGTACTTTAATTAAGAATATTACCCTGTATGACTCTATGTACTAGTTAGTATTCACACCGAATAAACCGAAGTTACCGAACCGAATAAACCAAAACCGAAAGGAGAAAAACCAAACCATACCGGATTTAATTAGGTACGGTATTGGTATAGCATTTTACAAAACCGAATACCGAAAATATCGAACCAAAATATCTAAATACCATACCGTACCGACTGACGAACCCCTACATATGATGGATAAGATTTCACTATCTTTAATCACAATATTTGAATTTGAGCATTGCCAATGAAAAAACTACTTGATAGAAAGCGTAACTTTCTTTAATTGGGCTTGCGTGGTATGATTCCAAATTAATTGGCGTGTCAATATGAAGGAAAAAAAATTAAAAATAGTAAGATTTACAACTGGTAATTAAAAAATAGTCATAGTTTCAAAAGTAATCGAAATTTAGCCATTTTTTCATGTAAAGATAAAATCTGAACAAAAATACTATTAAAAATCTGAAAATATTCCGGCATAATATGCTAGAGTTCGAATTTTTAATGTATGAGATTCCAGCATAATATGCTGGAAATTCATAATGTGTTGGAGTTTCAACATAATAAGCTGGAAGTTTATACGCATGAGCTCCATAATCCAACATATTATGCTGGAACTTTTCGTGTCCTAGAGTTCCAAGATAATATGCTGGAAGTTTATACGCAGGAGCTCTATAATCCAGCATATTATACTGGAACTTTTCGTGTTTCAGCAAAACAATGACTATTTTTTAATGGCTTCGCAAATGCTGGCTTTTTTTGATTACCAATCCGAAATATGACTAGCTCGTGCTATTTTTACCAATATGATTACTGGACACCAAATAAAATACAAAAACAAAAAAGATCAAAAAATGGTACATACCATATGTTAAAATGTATTAAAAATGTAAAATAATCAACAACCCCTTAAATTTCAGGAAAATATTTTATTCTCGAACTAATGGTTGTTCCGATAGAGCATCTGGACAAATGATAAAGTGTGGATAAGTTAAACCATTTAAAATATGCGACCTCCTTTAATCATACCCACCAGATACAAGTCTTTGCTATAAAATAAAAAACAAAAATAAAAATAAGATTGATCAGTTAAAACAGAACGCAATTAACTTAAATTAAACTCCCCTCTTTCGTCAAAAATAAAAGACCCACTTATTTAAAAGAAGAAAATTAAGAGTCATTTTTCCAAAATCCCCCCAACAAGTGTCTAGCATGAACACTTTATTTATGTGCTCAATTGGAACAACTCTTAATTTAAGTGTCTAAATAAAATATACCGACAAGTTTAAGAGGACGTATCCGTCAAAAGAATTTTATGCTATTAACGTATATAAATTACTTTTTTTTTATTTTAAAAAGAATTTTATGCTATTAACGTATATAAATTACTTTTTTTTTTATTTTAAAAAAACTTTGTTGGAAGTAGGGTTGTTCATAAAAATCCGAAAAAACAAACCAAACCGACCAAAAAAACCGTTAGCTTTTGGTTTGGTTTGGTTTTGATTTTGAATTTTAAAAACCGATCAAACTTGGTTTGGTTTTGGTTTTACTCAGAAAAAACNTAAAGGGCAATTGATTTGATAGTGTTACATTGAAAATGTGGTCGCCGGAATATGTGTTTGGTAGGCATGTCTTATATTTAAGAAAAAACCGACAAATAACCAAAAAAATCGACATAAACCGAATCGAGAAAAATTGACTTAATTGGTTTGGTTTGGTTCTAATATTTGAAAAACCGACTTACTTAGTTTGGTTTCTTTTTAGGGAAAAATCGATCCAAACCGAACCATAAATACCGTAGTTGGAAGTAAGATTTGTAACTGAATCTGTATGGAGTACATGACTCTGTCTTGAAGTGTCTGTAAATAAAGCTGCAGTTATTTATGATTCTTTTTACCTTTGTCATTGTCTTGCCTATCCCTACCACCATTATTAATGCTCCACCTGCATGCACATTTATTCAGAACCAAACCAAAATTTATTGCTACCTAATATGTTTAATGCGCCTTATTACTTTGATTTAATCATATTATATGATACATTATATTCTATTTTATGGGATACTATTTTTTTAGTTTATTTTAAAAAAATTATATTTAAAAATAATTTAACTATAATTTGTCATTTTTTATCCTAATAATATAATTTTATATCCATACAAATTTATGACACATTTCAGATCATAATTTTTTTTTAAATCTTCCTTAAATTTCATGCTCAATTAAAAAAAATGTAAAAAATGAAACTGAAGGAGTATCTTTTGATTTTGAGTTTTATACCATGACGATATAAAAGATAATCCAATAACTAGATCATTTATAAAGTAATTATAGGTAATTTCTATGGTAAATATTTTTTTAATCTAATAAAGATAGCAATTGAACTACTATCACATATTAAACTTCATTGATCGTATAATTTTATTTCTTTGCATAATTAATATGTACAACCTAAATTCTTATATTATTTTACGTTATCAGAACTTAAATTTATGTGCATATTAGAATTTAGAGGAAATTTGAATGTGTTTCATAATGCACATTTTTAGAAAGTGGAAATATTACATCCACAACTCATTTTTTATAATGGAAAGCAATTAAATCCTACACTAGTTACTATAAGGCCTCATTTATTTGTATTTGATGAAGGTTTGATTCTTAATCATTTTAATTTAATTATCAAGAGTCTGAATCTTAATCTTTTAGATCTCTATCATAAAGTGCATATATTTTTCTTTTTTTATAAACACTTAACGGGTCTAAATGATTAAGACTAATAAAAAAGTCTTACTATCGTTAAAATGCTACTATCTACTTTCACCACTAACAATTGGCATCGCCCATTATTATCAACTACCATCACCTACTATTCAGCACCCCCAATCACCATCCTCAATCAACTACTACCACTTCCATCACCATGGTCAGCAATTACCATTGTTAACTACCAATTATAATCATCATTACCATACTACCAACGAACACCATAATCGGTCACTACTATTTGTTACCAATCACCACCATTAACTATCACTATTACCCACCAAAATTTTTAGCCATCGCATCAACTACCACCATCAACCATTGCTGTACCAATTAGCTACTAATCACAACCATCACCACCAACAATCGACACTCCCAACTACAACCATCAACTACCATATTATTTTTTAAAATATTTTATTTATATAGTATTAGATCATTTAGTATGTTATTTAAATTTTATATTTCTTAGTTTTTAAATAAAAATAAATTTTATATATTCAAATGTTAAAATATAAACGGTCTTAATTAGTTAGTATTCAATTTTTAATATACATCTTGTTTTAATTTTAATAAAAACAAATAAGGCCTAGGAAGTGCATAACAAAAATCACAATATTCCTAAATCTAGGTACGGTTTTTTTATTTTTTAATTTAATAACCCTTCAAAAATAGAAAGTGAGTGTTCTCTTTGAAGAAATTCTTCTGTGAAAGGATTGCTAGTGGGGGTGTTCATAAAAATCCGAAAACCCGAACCAACCGAAAATCAAATCAAACCGATCAAAAAAATCGATACTTTTTGGTTTGGTTCAGTTTTGGTTTTGAAATTTAAAAACCGATCAAATTTGGTTTGGTTTTAGTTTTAATAAAAAAAAAAAAACTGAACCAAACCGAATATAAGAGTAGTTGTTTTAAATTTATTATTACACCTATATATATGTATACTTTTATACAAAGTTTCAAAAATTTTATAGTAAATATTAATCGTTTGCACTTTCAGTACAGTTCTTTACCTTTACATTCTAGTTTGATTGGTAGTTTTCTTTTGTTAAGTGTAAGAATCTATTTCATGTTAAAAATAATATATTTTTAATTGAGTCCTTAAATTATTCATCACTATCTGATTCAATTATCAGCAATATATCTTGGTAAATAATAGATTTCTCAAAGGATAATTGATTTTGATAGTGTTACGTTGAAAATGTGGTCGCCGAAATATGTGTTTGGTAGAGTATGTCTTGTATTTAAGAAAAAACCGACAAATAACCGAAAAAACCGAAAAACCGACACAAACCGAATCGAGAAAAAACCGACTTAATTAGTTTGGTTCGGTTCTAGTATTTGAAAATACCGGCTTACTTGGTTTGATTTCTTTTTAAGGAAAAACCAATCTAAACCGAACTATGAATACCCTTAATTGCTAGCATCCAAAGATTATCTGAGTTGAGGTCTAGCCCCACGAGGAGAGTGCCCGGCAA